TTTGCTGGTCATAGTTTAGAGGCTAAGCAGCATGCTGATTTCATTCCTACTGTAGTCAAATTGTTAGGATGATATTTTTTATCGCGAGTAAATCTTGTTTAGTGATGAATTCAGACCTGTGGCATGCTCTCTCCTTGGTGATGTTGATGTTGTTGCCGTTTGACAAATTACTGTGTGGATTACAGCCTTGTATGGCCTCTAGTTTCATGGTGGTAAACTGGTAGTAAAAGTCGTCCTAGGTGTGTTGACCCTGACGTGTGTGTTTTATCAATATTCTTGCCCACCCTGTTCAGCTGCTGCTGCAGCACCTGAGACTGGGAGATAAATCTCTTCCTCCGTTATCTGAGGAGACTCTGGGCAGCAGGCACATTCCGTATCATAAATATGTAAATGTCGGATATTCTTTGTTAGGTAATAATATTCACATCATATTATATGATATGATAAAATAAAACTAAGATAATGTTGGGTACGCTGTGGTACACAAGGATTAAAGACAACAGAGCAGTTAAAGACTATATATCAGTATTTTAAAGTGATAATAGAAATTATGTAGCAGAATGTGATATTACATTACAGTCATTTAGCAGACACTTTTATCCAATGCGACTTACTATTCAGATTCTATCACATTCACCGTAGGCACAACTACGGGAGCAATTTTGGAGTTAAGCATCTTGGTCAAGGACACATTGACATGTGACTAGCGGAGCCAGAGCCGGGGATCGAACCGCCGATCCTCTGATTGAAGGACCGCCCTGCCCTCCACTTAGCCACATATCGGCAATATGTGTTGCTGTACCTTTAACTAATTGTAAATTAGGGAACTGTGCCTAATATTATTCAGGATTTGAGCCAACATCCTTCAGACTGCACAACTGTTACTCTACCTAGACACAGTGAGTCAGTGTGAACATGTTTCAATCTGTAAAAAACTTGTTTGTTTCTCCGCAGGTTGATGACGTTTCTGCAACTTTAAATCTGTTTCTTCAATTTGCCTTTCTCTCTCTGGTTCTCGATGGTCAGCTGTGAAGATAGTCTGGTGGTGTAGAACATCAGCTGGGGACCCGGAGATGTGGTATTGATCCCCTACTCAGACATCCAGAAATGTGACACACGTGAGTGAGTGCAATGTTGCATTGTGTGACGGTTGACTGAGCGCTGCACTTGTGCAACCCCCCTGCTGTGTTTAGGTAACAAAATCAACTCCTTGGTCTGGGTTAATAATAAGTGGTGTTATTTAAGTATAACAGTTATGAGAAAAATAAACTGAGACTTCTGGGTTTCACATGGTACACTAACAGCGGTCTCCTGGGTGAAAGTCTGGTGTTTTTAGACCCAACCCTCCACTCTGACCCACTCCCAATATAAAAATTACTCGGTCACCCTTCCTGGCTCACAATTAAATGGATTACATACAATTTGATAATGTGGGTTATGTATGAATTGTAGTGCATCACTTTTAGTAAGAATAGCTACAACGAGTTAATGAGAACAGCCTGATGTGTGTGATGAATGTGTGTGTGTTTTTTTGTCTACTCCAAAGAACAAAAACAATACATCTCAACTTGCAAATGTTCACCATCTACTAATGAGGAGGGAACAGAGAAAAGGTGAGCCCAGATGGGTCAAGCAAGCCAGTGAATTAAAAGTGCCACAGAAGGCACGACTGTTCTCAGAGGTTGAGTTGAGAAACACACAGAATTTTCCTGGTAATATCCGAGAATTATTCCGTATTACATCCATAATATTTAGCTAGTGGAAATATTTTTTAGGCACACTTTATTCTGTCACCAGCATGTGAACATTTTTAGCTTTGTGCGTGACAATGTTGCGACCACAACATAATTAAATGCAGTCATACAGTATAAACAGAGTCGTTATACATAAATGCAAAAGCTTGTTTTTTTTCACGCTGTACCAGAACTTTCATAAAGGTGTGTGATGCCAGGAAATCTTTGTGACGACGCAGCACTTGTGCAGCGCTCATTATTTTGTCAGATAAAGCTTTCCCTGCGGGGATATGGCAGCTGCCTCCTGCATTGCAAAGTGGAGCGCTGACAGCTGTGACATCGAATCACTGTTTGAAAGCGCAACTCATCGCTACGACATTGTGGCATCATGAAAAGGAGGCCGTACCTGCTAGTCTCAGTGCAGCAGGCTTCACATGGTGACAGCCCGCTGCACCAATCTGCGGCATGAAAGGGGTAGGTGGCAGGTGCAGGCTAAAGGATCTGTGGCACTGAGAGAAGTGGAAACGAGGATGTAAGACGCATAGGGAAAAGGAGTAGAGAATGTGGGAGGGCAGAGAGGAAGTTTGAAGTATGACATGGCACCGGGGGAGAAAGATGTCAGTGCAAAGGCAAAACAAAGGACAGAAAACAGCAGGGTTACAGCAAATCTGAAGTATGAACAGACTGACAATTATCTCATTTACAACGAACTCCGTCGGAAATTAATATTCTGTCCATATTCACATTCAGTTGCAGAGAGGCTGGGACCAGTGTATCACAAGAGTCAGACGCTTTGTCTAATGGTTCAGGCAGGGGTTCAAAAAGAGCTGGCCTTGCTCTGGTTAACACATATCATGCATCTTGTCTCCTAAACAGAGATGTATCAGTTTTGTGACATCATGATGCCTATCTTTTTGGTACAGAAAAAAAACGTTTGGTTACACTGGTTCGGAAAAAGCGCATGTATACGAGGTGTACGTTTCTACATTTATATCGTAGTGCGGGTATTGCGCATGTGACTTTCAAAGAGAACTAGTTTGTATGAAGCCAGAAAAAGTGACTCTACTGCTCGGAGTGTGCAGTCTATTTTCTGTGCAGCTCTGTGGTTGGCTTGTCTAAAATGGTTTCAAAGCAGTAGGGGGTCCCAGGGAATAGTATACCCTTGGGTGCTTTGCAGACGTTCTCCCCTAGTTTCATGCAGTTTCCCCATGCTGAGCTCATTCACCCAACTCAAACACTGCCCACAATTTTCAAGTCAAGAATACGACTCTGTCTGTTGATTTAATTTTTTTTTGTGGGGAAGAATTTGATTCCCCAGCTTCCCGGATGAGTCACAGGTTACATCGAAATCATTATTCTCGGTGGATGAATTCTGCAGTATCATGCTGATTTAACAGACCTAGACAGGCCAACTCATCTGCAGCTGCCCTCAAGAGAAAATGCACTGCCAGTTTCTGATGTACAGCAACATTTTCCCACATCGCCCCTTCCTTGCTAAGTGAATACAATTCTCTTTTTGCATATCGTTTAAACACGTTGTCATCCCATGCAACAGTTGTGTTCTCACATACTGCACGTGGCGTACAGGTGGTGTCATAATGAACCTACTCAGTGAATAAAAAGTGTTTTTCCAGAGGCATTAGATTATTCATTATAATGGCTGATCCACACGCAGCCAAACAGATTTGACGGCGAGCGTGCTCTCATCCAGAGGATTTCACTGCAAATTGATGTGGTCCCTTTTACAATGTCCCCACCTGAGTACTGATAGAGCCCCAATAAATCAAGGCAATCACAAGGAGATATGGGAAAGACTTTGCAGTAAATCCCACCGGGATCATAAATGTACAGCATCTAAATGTGTCTGTCCACACTACCTGTCCCTCTGTGTCTCGCCCTAACTGTCTTGATATTACTTTCTTTTGTTGTTCTTCCTTTTCTCCCTCTTCTTCATCTCAAACACTCCCATGATGACAATGATCCAATCATCATTTAGAATGTACTCGTCATGCCGATTTGTGCCATCACAGTAAATGTTCCCGGGTTTTCTGGGTGATTGGGCCAAATTTCTAAAGGGATTCGATGACAGTAAAATCATTAACGAAAAGAGGATTAGAATGTGCAGCGTTACAGATTATCATGATGGACTTGTCACTTGTGGGACTTGTTATACCACTTTGACGATGTAGTCTGCACGGCTCTCATACTGCGGTTACCACTGATAACGTCGTCCTGACCCACTGTCAGCTCTGTAAACACTCTTGCTGCTGTTTGCACTGTTCTTGCTGTTAGCTCCGATGGCTGCCTGTCGCTAGCGCAGTCCTCGCCATGTTGAGAGCCGTGTGGGGGCAATCCCTCAATATGCTCTGAAAACGTAGCGTCTTAAAATTAGTTTGTTTTTTTAAACACATAACATTCCCAGCGATGGACCAATGGGGCTATTACCACAATTGAACCAGCAGATAAAGAATCATTAACGAGTGGATGTGCACAGGAGTGGTGACCGTGGTCTCCAATGCCTCTACCTTCCCTTGTAAACTGTTGAAATATAGAACACGCTAGCATCCCCACCAATAGGTGATCTGTTTATTGGTGATGACTTACATTGACTTGTCATAGTTTCGCCACCTTTTAATTCATGGCTAAGTCTAATCAAACACTGGCAGATGGGTTGCATAGGACCCCGAGCAGTCCGTATGAATTACAGGGATATGCAAACCAGTTCTCACTTTCACGGTGGCTGGGCCTTGAGTGGATATTGCTGAAAAAGCAGTGCAGCTGCTTCGCTCGTCTATTTTTGCAAATAAATTGTCCCTTTAGGTCACAGAACTCCCCCGAGCGACATGTCTTTATGGAGATGACCCGTGCCGGCTGAAATATTCCAGACACTTTTAGCACCTCCAGTCTTCCACTGTGAATCACTGCAGTCAGCATTTAGCAGAACGTCCTGCTGCGAGGCCAACTGCCAAGCACATTTATCACCATATCGATGATATTGTGCGTTCCTGTAAGTGCTGAATGCAGGCGCTTTGGTACTCACTACCTCAATGCCCAGAGGTGCAACAACCTCACTATAGTATTATTTAAAGGTGTTATAGAATGTTTTTTTCCTGTCAAACGACATTAGTGCAGTCTGCTTTACATCTGAAGCTAATAGTGGTGCGGAGCTTGTGTTGAACAGCAGGTGGAGAAGTTTTCATGGACTGTTCTACTCTCCGGCCCCCACCCCTGTCCCTCCTCTGTCTGTCTCATGCTGCCCCTGATGAGAGGAGTTCCTGCACAAACTTCATTCCACTCCACAAAGGGAGAACACATGTTGGAGACTCACCGGAGTTAGGGCAGAGAGAGCAGACAAACAACAGTCTGGACTTATTTCTTGTTGTTGGATTTCTTCTCTCAAGTCAGGGTCTGCATGCGTTTGTCTTTGCATCAGAGTGTATGAATGTTGAAGTTTGTGTGTGAAGTGTGAGTGAAATTCGAAGTGCTTTTAGACATGGAAACATCCTTTGCTGTGAGTTCTCTTCTCCTGGCCCTGCTTCTCTCTCTTCATCTGCACCGCCGCCTCCTTGTTTGGGCCGCAATGGACTCCTGCTTCGATGAGGAGGGCGGCCAGAGCCGTTGCATGCCCAAGTTCGAGAACGTTGCCTTCAATCACACTGTGGTGACATCCAATGTGTGCGGCTCCCCACCTGAGGACTACTGCATGCAGACCGGCTCGACGCGCTCATGCCACCACTGTGACGCTTCAGATCCAGACTGGAACCACAATGCCAGCCTCCTGACAGACTTCCACAGGAATGAGGAGCCCACATGGTGGCAGAGCCAGTCCATGTACTATGGCATCCAGCACCCCAGTTCTGTCAATCTGACCCTCCATCTGGGTAAGAGCACATCAGCACATCCATAGTTCAGCCTCACCCTCCAGAACTCTTCGGTTTGACTTCCCTCCACTTGCAGTGTTTGTGGCCAGGCTGAGTGATCTAGGCCAAGCATGTGTGTCCTCAGGGTTCAATTATGGTCTCTGTTACGATAATGTTGTATATAATGTCCTATTTCATTTTAAAGTACTTGAAAGCTCTTCGTGTGCACTGCATTTGCTGTGTCCTGGAACAAAATATGATTATCAGTAATATATTTAGCGCCCCACAGAATGCAGGTGGTTTTTTAGTGGTAAAGAGTCCGGCGATGGGATTTCACATCGATGCATGTTGGAAGTATAGCTGAGTTGAGGTTTCAGCACTTTTTGCACTTTTCTTTTCTTTGCAGCAAGTATCTCGGTACATTGCTTTGAGTATACTGCAAGTCCATTGATGTGGAAATCTTTAATACAAAACAGCTGTGCTTAACAAACACATTCTTTGTATTATTCAGTCGCTGCTCTGAGCTGCTTTCATAAACACACACTTTGGCCCAGACATGGCTTAGACTGGGAGTGTTTGCGAGCATATAGCCACAAGGGCATGTCTGAGAATTTGGTTGGATTTAAAGTGGATGAGAAAGACACACACTTGCATCTGGCATGCCTAGATTGGCCCTAGTTTACATTTTAGCCCACGTACCACCATGGGTATTGGTGATGAACCCATCCGAATCTGGCTGCCATAAGCTGATGAGGCTTTTTTTTAGTTGGGCCAGAACTCAGCTAGAATACAGCCACCACACGCAGCCTTCATAGAAGCATGTAGCACGATTTGGACCAGGCCATGGCAGAAAATCAACCTTTTTGTAAACATTTTGGATTGAAATCCACATTTGACATTAGATCACATTACAAATTCAACATCTTCTGCTGCAGGCTCCATTCAATGTTTTCATCTTAGCAATTTTCAGGTTTCACTGCAACAAATATACAGTGCATCGGGCTGAAAATCAATACTAAGCCACTTCATTTTTTTCAAAGACATTCCAGGAAATAAGCAGCTGATAACCTTAAAACAAATGCCCCGACTTCGGCAGGAATAAGACTAAGATAAGGAACCAACTGAAGTTAGCCAGGCATTTACATAGAATGTATTTAGAATTCTAACGATACGCTTACTTTCTAGGCAGGTAAATTTCATTAACCCCCTAGCCAGAAACACTTTTGCATAGCCAGGGATTTGGTCAGCAGGTCTACTGTTTACTTGAAATTATGCAAATTGTCCCTTTACTCTGGGGAAGGTTGTCTCTGAACTTTTGGAGACAACCCCTCAGCTATTCATTTTAAACAAAGTTCAGCTTTTGGAGTTTTTGAAATGTTGTCAAACACCTGTGGTTAACACACGGTCAATGTCAAAACTCAATTAACCAAAAGATTACAGCTAAATATCTAAACAACAAAACAAATTGTCTTGGCTGGATTGATTTAGACCAGCAATTTATTAACCAAGAGCTCTTCGGAAAAATGTGCAACTATTGCACCAATTGAGAAGTTTCTGCCTTTACAAATTTTCAGTGGTTTTAATTGATACAACTTATGATACAGTAAGCATGAGTGCATTGTTAAACGGAGACATTTGGGCACATGGGGAAAAGATGTTGATCATATTTGCATTATTGTGTGATATTTTGTAAAATGAGCCAAACTCTTAAAGACAAAATCATTTGTTGTTGGCACAAATTATGTAAACATAATGTTTCTCCCGCATGAAGTGAATTCTGTGACATGTAGTTTAATTCAAACACTTTTCTTTTGTTCAGCATTTGAAAAGCTTGAGTAACAGTTACTCATACGCATGTCCAGGGAATTTTATCTGGGCCAACTCTGCTTTGTTTCAGATAAGGTTGAGGCTTTCTTGTTTACAGTAAGAAAATGTTCGGGGTTAGGATTTAATCATCGTATAGTGGGAGAACCATCTGGGTCTTTGCAGTTCAAAACAAATACGTAACCGTGCACCACTTTTACCACGCTGCATTATTCCTGTGTCACTAATACAGAGTCTACGATTACCTCCTTCACGCACTCTTTGCCTTTCAGCAAATGCCTTTGACTTACTTTTTTGTACACGTGTATATATTTGCATTTGAAGACATTTCTCATTTCACAAAATTATATGAGACCAGCTTGAGCCATTAGCATCATTATCCCATTACCATGCTGTGCAAAGCTGCTGGAATAAGTAACAGACCGCATTTGTCACTTTAACTGAATTAAATTGTGGCGATTAATGTTACAAAGCATCTATGAAATTACCTTTCCTACTTTCATTTATTTGCTGTGTGTGTGTGTGTGTGTGTGTGTGTGTGTGTGTGTGTGTGTGTGTTTAAAGGAATGTCTCAAGGGCGTACACAGGAATGTGGGCCCCTCTGAAGAATATTGCTCTAGGGCCCCTTTATTTATTAAACTAAATGAATACTAACTGTTCTTTTTTCCGGTAAAGAGTACATCTAATATATTTAATTTATTCTCGGTTAGAGGTTGAAGTCAGCATTTCTTGTGGCGCTAAAGTTATCTCCTCTGGCTCTGTAAATGTCAAACACTATACAATAGAGTCTATTACCAAATAAAGAGAACTCAGAAGTGGCTTTCCTGTAACTTGCAACAGGCCGGCTGCTAACAAGCCAGCAGTCCCACAACAAGAATAAACCTTTTCACAATTACTCCTCCATCTAATCTTAAAGAAATAGTCCTACATTTTGGGAAATATGCTTATTGGGTTTCTTGTTAGATGAGAAGATCGCTACCACTCTTGCAGTTGTCCATTGAACATAAACATGGAGCCAGGACACTGTTGGTTTAGCTTAGCAGAAAGAATGGAAACAAGAGTAAACAGGTAGCCTGGCATTGACCAAAGGTAAAAATAATAGCACCTGTAAAGCCCACTAATAAAATGATAAAATTATATTTTGTTTGTTTAATATGTTGTATTCTGGACCACCACCATATGGCAGCAACACACAAATGTTGACAGATTATCAACCTTCTAACTCTGGGCAAGAAAGTTAATTTATTTTTTTCCCAAAATGTCAAACGATTCCTTAGTCGTGAGAGTGGGCACTTGTTAAATAGAAGAGGGAAATCAATCAGCCTGAACATAGTTCATTTTAAAAATGTTCTCAAAGTCATAGCCAATTAATTGTGTCATCAGACGAATGTTGGTTGATAATAACTGCTTAGACCGTGTGCAGGGTGAAAAACTAGGAAAACAATACACAGGAATTTCTGACAAATCTCAGATTGACAACTCAGATCAGCGCATTGAAATGAATGTAGAATAATGATCTGTCCAGGTTGTACCCTCATTTGGCCCAATGTGAGCTGGGATAGACTCCACCCCTCCCTGCTTTGTACAGGATGACCTTATAGGAATTAGTGGACGGATGGATGGATATCCATGGACCCCTCATATTTTGGATCGGAAAGGTAACTAGATTAGGTTGAGTGACTGCTTGTCTAATTGGTAGCAGCATTTCGTTGAATTAAATGCAATGTAAAAAGGTAGGGCTATTTGAATATCACCTTAAACCTGTAATAACTATTTCTGGCCACTTGGGGGCAGCGACAACAAGCTGTAAACACAGACTTTAGTAATAACCTTGATAAGGTGAGCTTGTTAGCTAACAGTTGCCAATTTACACTTCCAGTAACTGTTATTTACGGAGCCACATTGCAGAGTTGTGTTTTTGGCTACCAACCTGGCGGAAGTTCGATATTAACTCTCTTTTAGTTTTCCTTCGTTGTTGTTTATCTCCACAATGTCCAAGGAAATATCTGGCTCTTTAGCCGCTAACGTTGAATGCTGAATGCATACAGTGGGATGGAGGGTTACTAGCTAAAAACAGCTGTCTGCTGTGACCGGAAACGAAAACGAAATGAAAAACGAAAAGAACGTGTTTAAAAAATGCTTACAAAAAAAGAAGCTCAGTAGGGACTAAGGAAACTTCAGAGTCATAGACATTTTCAGAGACATTTTCTGGACAGTCTAGATTTCCTTCCGCCTCTTCCTCTTCTTCCTCCTCTGTACCAGTGGAGTGGGCGCTGCCCATCAAAAAGCCCTTCTTCAAAGGGACAAGAGACGGGGACAAAATGATGACAGAAGTTGAAAATGTCAGAGCTTTGACCGTTGCTGAACTTTCATATCATGTGCTCTGATAGCGAGCATGGCTTCCATCAACTGGAGGATATTGATTTCCTATAGCAAGCAGATGTCTGGCTGTGTTTTGAGGCTTTGTTGTTTAGAATCTGCCATTCTTTTAGAGAAACCCGCCAATGTTTGCTGCTACAGAGCTATGTTGTGCGCTGTCTGGAGGGTTTGTTATTCTTCAGACAATCACAACACACACACATGTCTGTCTCCCTCAGACTAAATTCACCTTTGCTCCCCTCTCCCAAACATGTGTTTTACTGGACCTGATGCATTTGAATGAATCTAGCAGTCTTAAAAGATTATGTTTTCTTAACAAGCAATTTCATGTAAGTGAAAATCCCGGAATTTTGGACGTGTGGCATCTCTTTGGTCCATGTGAAAGATGTGTGATCCATCTGGGTTGGTGGTGGGGGGTGTCTTCGACCGTTGCTGTTTTCTTTTGCCTCTCCAAACAAAACAAGCTCTCTCTGAAGGGAATACAGGCAAATGCTGGGATGATAAACACAGCAGTAGGACGCAGGGACACACATTGCAGCCAGGTCAGACTGGTTCTGCGAAAAGACTAGAAAGAAGAGGGGGGGGGAGTCGGGCTGCTTCAAGGGGAGTAAACAAAACATAATGAGGAAGAAGGGGGTAGAAAGGAGAAAATGCTGGGCGGTGTGCTGGTAAGGAATTGGGGTCAGGTTTTTCCCACAAAGACTTGTTGAGATACACACAGACCCTGCAGCTGGTTCTCATTCAGTGCCATCAAAGACGAGCAACATCCTGTTTCGGATGTAAAACAATGATAAAAGTCTGCCACAGTTGGCATGACGCTCTCACGGCCAGAATATCGGCGTGCTGTATGAGTCACAACTCTCTGGAAAGAGTTTTATTCTACTTAATATGCAATCTTTGAGATGCAGCATGATTGGAAGATAAATCCACTCATCCGTGTGTTTGCTGATCCCAAAGAAATCTCAGCTTGGAGTAAACAGATTGTAAATATTGAGTCTGCGGTACTCGTGGCGAGTTTAGTCTCAGCCTGTCTCGGTCTGGGCAGACGAGAGCAGCTGCGTTAAGTTGACACTAATGACTCCGAGGAGGGTCGGACGCTGTTCTTCTGCAGCTCCCAGCTTTTACTCTTGAAGTCGATGTCCAAACAGTTGTTTTATTGGGGGGCTTGTGCGCAACACGAACAGCTTCAGTCGGATTTGTGTTGCCACAAGATTCTGGATCAGACCTGAAACGTTACACCATGCTGTTCTTCTGGGTTTCCAAACTAACCCTCAAAGACCTATTGCTTGGCAAACAAAGACAGGCGTCTGCTTCAAACTGAGCTGTCCAAACTGCCAAAATAAACGTGTGAATTCAATCCTAGGACGTATGTTATCTATAGTATGTTGTTTTGCTTGGTTTGCGATTTGATATCTGAAAATCCCCTCTGTTGTGCCCACATAAACTCTGATGAACACAAAGTGTGCACTCCTGAAATGTGCAATCATTACACATTATGCATAACAACATACAAATATCATTTGCAATTACTCTGCATTTCGTCACGGGACATCCAACAAATGTTTCATCTTCTGCCTCTTTTATGTTTTTGCCTCGGTCCCAGCAGGGCTGAGCTCACCTCATGCAGGGAGTAAATGAAAGCTAAATGATCTTCAGGCTCCTAAAGGAAAGATACCATTAGAGAGAGCTGCAGAGACAAGAGACAGAGCTGCTTCGATCTGGCTTGGCAGAGAAAAGCAACAGATGCCATTATGGCAGTGCCAGCGGATGGCATCCCTCTATGAATGTGCAGAGCAGCAGAGACTTAGTATCTAATGATGTAGAAAAAATCCCCAAGAGTGCAATGAAGACGCCCGTTAAGAGAGTTCCTACATGTTACTTATCATTCTGGTGTCAATAAGACTTCAGTTTGTGTCTGCCCAGTCAAAAGGAAAGCTGCTGAATCTGAATGTGTGCTCATATTTAGGACGTATAACTCTGCAAGCCTCCCTGATATGGCTCCAGGATTACAGTTTGAAGTGTCCACAGTGAGTAAACAATGGGAGGGAATGACACACTCGATCAAAAAGAAGCACCGACTCTGTGTTTGCCCTGAGATTAGGGAAGAAGATGCCATCTTTCCTACAAAACCAAATGAGGACAACAGCTATGTTGCAAATTGATGAAGTTCCCACTTTCGTTTTCCACATAAGGAGACATTATGAAGCAAAATCACCAAATAATTCAAGCCATCTGAGTAGGCACAATGTGAAAAAGATGCCAGAAGGCATTCTTTCCTAACCCCCCCCCCCCATTACCTGTGAGACTGATCCCTCAACGTATTACACCTTCAGAAAATACTTTACAGGCTTTTCTTCAATTACAATGCAACACCAATTACATCGCAACTTAGTCGGATCTGCTAAATCCCCCAATACCAACTCAAATGGAAACACGGCTATACGCTATATCTCCTCGTCTGCAGCGGATCTTCTTCCATATGAGATTGGAATCTGAAACCCATTTTCCTTCTTCACAGATTGAAGGCAAATCGCTGTTTTAGGTAGAATACAAATCTATGAAAAGGTCTCCCTTCTCTCTCTGTCTGTTTCTCCCCTTATAAACAAATGGCTGATGTACAACTAAAACCTCACGTTTGGTATATCAATCAATGATGTTTAATTCTATGCCATACTCAGCCCCCCATGACACTCATTAGTGTTTTGCATCTTTGACTAATCACTTATTTTTCTATTGATTACATCTGATGCTTTTCTCCAATCAGACTACATTGTAAGTGAGTTGACCAACAATTTCCACCATGATTTTGCACTCTATTGGACTATTCTGTCCTTCAGTTATTATAAGAAAAAAGAGACATTTAGTCTCTTTTCCTTTGACCTATGTTTCACTTCTGGGGCCCATTATAATCTGGATAATGAGAAAATAATCCTGGCTATTCTTCTACTCCTGCAGGAAGGACATTCATTTACCTTGCATAGAGGCATGGGAAATGAAGTCTGTCCCCCATTGTTTTTCTTCTTTCTATAATGCAATTATGTCGTTTTTCCCCCTTTGCTCCCGGGCCCTAAACTATCACCCTGCAGTATTTTTCTCTTATATAACCAGCCCTGATCTAACTGTGTAACTACAATGGATCTAGTTCCAGCAGTAATTCTTTTCAACGATTCCATTCAACGCTAATCATATCTGTTTTCCACAGGGAAGGCATTTGAGATAACCTATATACGATTGAAATTCTACACCAGTCGGCCGGAGAGCTTCGCCATCTACAAGCGCACGGAAGAAGACGGTCCCTGGCTGCCTTACCAGTTTTACAGCGCCTCTTGTAGGAAGACGTATGGGAAGGATGCCAAGGCTTACATTCGCCCAGGAGATGATGAGAGGACTGCTTTGTGTATGGACGAGTTCAGCGATATCTCCCCCCTCACTGGAGGAAACGTGGCTTTCTCCACGCTGGAGGGACGGCCCAGTGCGTACAACTTTGACCAAAGCATGGTGTTGAAGGTGAGGGCACATTTTAGTTTTGTGCGTTTTTAGAAATGTAATGGCTATGATTCTTTGTTATCCACATAAAGAATCATAATAACACACATTTTTACTGCAATGGAAAAAAATCTGTTTGAAAAAATAATAATTAGTGCAAAATAGATTTTTCTTAGAAGAGACAAATGTTTTATATAGATTAAATATAAAAACAGCCATAAATGTGCTTCATTTGAATGCATTGCGTTTGAAAACCTTGAATCCATACTTGATGTTAGATTTTATCTTTAAAATTTGCCATATTTTTTTTTTCTTGAGTTTGACATTGTGAACAAAGGTTATTATTTACCTGGAGACACAAGGGCTCCACACATCACATATAGATATCATGTTGTAACAGTGCCGTGCAACTGACATCGTTACCACCACCTAAGGCGTACACTTTTACAAAAACAAACATGTGTACCAGCATGACTTCAACACTATTTTCAAAGCAACTGAAGGGAATTTAATGTTATATTTAGCTCTGATTAACATTGATGAAGCTTTGAGAGGGCTGAGCTGAATTAATGGTGGCCTCTTGGGGGAGAGTCCAGGAGGGGTGGGCACAGTAAAGCGTGCCTAAAAATGAGTAAATATAGCACTTAATGCAGCCCCTCCTCTTTCTCTGACAGGGCTGTAAGTATGCATGTGTGCATCTGTCCGCCCTACTTCAGTGAAAGACTTTTCTGTGAAAATACAGTATTATTTATCGGCTGATTGACATGAAAATATACAGTCGGAATATATGCAACAAATGCATTAAGTTAGCCCATTAGAGCAGAGATCATAAGAAGATGAAACATGTATGTGTGTCCAGAAATAGTAGATGAGGACATGAAATAACAATGGTGCAGCTTCACAGAAAAGCCAGCCGATTCTCAATCACATGCGGAAATCTACAGCAACATTTATTCTGAGACAGCTGTTCATAATTCATTTTCAGGAAGTTTTGCTGAAGTTTTATTGAATTTTGGCGTTTCCATACTTTTCTAATGCGATACTTCAAAATGCGTGTAAAAATATGTGAATGAAGGGCTAGTGGCGTGATTTCTTGGCACCAGAGACCAGAGGTTTGCATTCTGAGTGCTGCGTGTGATTAGGGTTCTGCAACAAAGGCTTGTTGGGGAAAGTTAGATAAAGATCATGGTTTCGATTAAATATTGCTCAAGTAAAACATTCAGATTTGTCCTTCATTTAACGGTGGAGTTTTTGATTATTTAACCAAGAACACAATCGTTCTCCAACCATAAACGCGTGCTTTGATTGCTTAAAAATTACCATGATATCATTAATATTGCTAGAGTGGTTATTCTAGGATAAATAAATGGAAGACCAATTCGCGAGAAACATTTTTCTTATTATGTTTATAAAAAAACTGCAATTCAGGTGACATTATGTGTCCCTCAAAAATTATTTGTAATACTTGCAATACTACAGTAAAACAATGTAAATGATGCATCATTAAGACCCTGCATGGCATGGCATTGACCAGGCGTCCATGCTCGTGGGAGGTAACCCGATTTATTCAGATCCTACGCCCTCATCAACGGGCTATCTCGACTCCGAAACCATTCAAAATCTAATTTATTCTTTCTCAGTAAAAGTCCCACCACCACCTCCATAACCTGTTTTGCAGGAGGTGGACAGACTGTATACAGGCCTCCCACAGCCCCAATGTACTCATTCTGCATTTTGCATCTTTCCGCTGTCCCTTACAGTGCTATCTGAACACTGCTATTTTTATTCCCTGTCTCTACAACAACAAAAAATCTACCCTACCATGTAGTGGACATACGTCTTCAACAATGATCTTCAATTACTTTAGGAACTATGTGCCCGCGATGATCAGTCCACAGACATTGCCCCCTGATGTTAGCTAATGACAACCTATTCCTCTGTGACCTTTCTCTCAAAATGCTGTGAGGGAATAGGTCTGTCAATGCAAGACTGCCACCTCTGTAGAGGAAGCTGTCCTCCTCCACATCATTAAATAGGATGAGTAAGGTTGTCTTTTGGAGGATGTGTGGAGGATCTGCAGAGTAACCCTGCATAACCACAACCCGCTCCTAAAGACAGAAACCATCGTCCAAAACTTAATAAAATTACAATGAGGGTTTTTTTGTTGCTCCGCCTGTCAGTATATTTGCAGTGTCTACTGTATATGGCTGTTATAAATCTATTTAAAGATGATTTAGCTATAGCACACCTGGATTCCAATATTCCTCTCAGCTCACTCTTGATGTTTTGAAACTCAAATATGAAATATGTTCAATTCTCTGAATGCAACCTTCAATGAAAAACTGCTGAAGCAAACTGAAGACTAGACGCACAGCAGATTAATGACTGTGTGCCATCGCTAGTGTTTTTTTGATTTTTTTTTTTAACCCAATCATTCCCTTTAACAAATTATATTTAGTTTGTGCACAAAAGATTTGAACGAACTACTTACATGTAATCTTCAAATACACAAATACACATTATGCCAGATTTGTAACTGATGACGATTTGTTGTGGTGCCATCCTTGTTTTATTTGCACTCTTAAACCTCAATAAGCTGTGCGATTTCAAAAGCACAACGGTGTGATGCAGCTGACAAGCCCTTAGGGCTACATACGGTATCTCTGCCTGCACACATACCTTTACCCCAACCGCCTGCCACCCTTACACGCATGTGCCGGATGCTGTCTTCTCATAACCCTCCTCTCACCCCTCCCATCAACCACGGCACTTTGAATGGGTGACATCCCTGAAACCTCCCACAGAGTAGAAAGCAGCAGCTTTCCTCAAGAGTCATCCCATTTATAACTGGGAAAAGATGGAGGATGAAAAGACATCAGTGGTAAAGCCACATCAGCTCTCAAGCATGAGCTAAGCTGCACTGAGGAGCAGAGTAAAGATATTTTTGCCTCACGTCTGCTATGTGAGGTCCTCTTGCGTCTATAACGAGTCAAAATGCAAATGAAATGCTCCATTGGATTAGCTTTAGCGATGCTAGGGGTGGAACACATGTGTGTGGCAGGCTACTCTAAGTAAGGCCACATACAGTCACAGGAAAGTGTAACCTGTACGCAGGACTGGATTGGGCTCCTAATCTGAAAGTCCAGTGTATCTATTCTTTTCCGTCTTGCTTGGACAACCAAAAAAAATGAGAGTGAAGTAAAAAATAACTATTAGTACATCTATTTATGTTGCTGAGCAAAAGCCACTTGTCCCACTGTCAAAAAGAAGCCTCCCTAGAAGTTTTCATAAGCACAAGGATGTTAATCATCCCCTTCCTGCTCAGAGTGTTTTCCTTTCCTTCACATCCTGCGCTGTTCGTTCTACATTTTTTTCTTTGGCTGCAAGAGCAGTTACAAAATGCCTACAAGAAAAGGTGGCAGCAGCCTGGTTTCGGTGTTCAGAGATTATTAAACTGTCCTTTTCTGATTAATCCCTTCACACTAGTCTTCTACCGCTGTGCTATTTGGGCCTCTCGCTCTATCTGTTGTATAATTCTAGACTCTGGAAGGCTGGGACAATAAGACTGGAGAGCCGAGGTTTGTAGGACATACAGAACTGAGCCTGGTCTGCTGAGATTTTGTAAAGTGAGCATTATGTTTTCAGTTGGAAATACATGCTCCGTGCTTGAAAAGAGCTAGAAACACATCTTCTTACCATGAAAGGATTATGTGGGATTAAGGAATTAGGGGACTAAGGAATATGCAAAGGTGGCATTGGTAGAAACAGGTCTGAGAGTCAACAATAGCAGGAAGAAATGGTACTGTGGTCAGCTTGACCTCGCCTTAATATCCAATAACCCCGTAGTCATGTAACAAGTCATGGAAGAAAAAGAAAATACAATGTGTACTTGTACATGCTGCACACTGGAGAAGTGTAAAACAAGAGGAGGACATTTTGGGGCACTTTAAGCAGTTATAATACTCATCGTGAGGGTAAATCACTGCGTGAGTAGCAGTGTTTACTGGGCCTTCTACGATGTTATCACACCTCCGGGTGCGATGTGAGAGAATCCCAGGAAACACCTTGTTGTGTGAATAAACTGTTGATGTTCTCCACACCAAATAATTCAATAATTCTATTTTCTTTGGGCTCTGAAAAACAGTATACATGCTAAACATCAGCGTGTCGGCATTGTGATGGTGAGCATGTCTGTAGACTTTGTAGTTGACACTAAGGGGACACCACTGATCCTGCAACATTTGTAAAGAATTCCACTGATAATTTCAGCAGAAATAAAAAGGTGCTTTAACACCTGTTGAACCGTTGACAGACTCCAGCGACTTCAAATTAGAGTTTTCAGTGGATCTTAAAGCACTTCTATTATACCAACGCCTCTTCTCATTCTGGCTTCTGAGAGGGGCAATGCTGCTCCAGTAAACATCCTTACGACTCAGTCTATTGAGCTGGTCGTGCTTTTTACACTTCAGAGGACTCATCCAAAAACAGTCTGTTTGGTAATCCAGGAGAGTTTGATTCCCGGGAGTGTCCGGCCACAGCTCCGAGCTGGTCCCTGTCTCTCCTTGTCCAGGTCAGCAGCATCACAGCGTTCACTCTCTGGATGAGGAACAGCAACAGCCACTTTTGATTTCGGTGTCTGTTCCTCAGTCAACATCTGTGAGCATTGTTCTATGTGGCACCATGTCGACCAGCCGAATGGGGTGGGGGTGGGGGGATGAATTAATGCATTAGTCAGTATGTGGGGTTAGCTCAACGGTATTCTGTTGAAATATATCTATTTTCCTGTAGCTTATTCATTTCTATTCGATTTGGCAGTTTTGCACTGAACATCATGTAATATCTATCCCGGGACATCAAATCTGTCCTGAGGTAAAATGTAAAATACGATTACATCAACTATTATCGTAAAGGATTGAATCATTTATTGTTTTGTGTGCAAAGTAATTACGATCACTATCAAAAGTCCAGATCAGATTCCGTGTATCTAGATGTGAGAACTGCTGTCACACATAAAATAATTA